TGGTTTGGTTATGATTAAACATAGCATATATGATCACTTCTATTAAAAGGTCTTACCCTGAAGGCCTCTATCATAAAAATTTATTCTACTGAGAAAATCAAGCTCACTGTTTTAACAGGAGTGATTTTTTTCCAGGAATGTGACCCACATAAATTCAAAGAATAGTCTATCTGTATGACAGTAACAGTTCACGTCTTAAAATATGTAGCATACTGTTTTTACAAACACATATAAAAATGATTGGTAAGTTAGTGGAAAAAGACTCCAACTCCATGAGTTAATACACAACCTAGGTAAACTATCTCCTTTCTAACAAATAGTCCAAACAAGTTGCAAGTTTACAAACACAATCTGAGACTCTTTAATATCTAAATTAATTTTTTGGCCTTTCAGAGAAGCCAGCAGCCAAAAAATAACACATTAATCCAAGTGATTATGCTGTGACTATAAAGCAGGGCTTCAGTATTTATCGAGTGGTGCAATTTTAAAAGTGAGAAATGTAGAAGTACATAGCAATTTCTATTACGGTTCCTCAGACATAATGAGTTAGGGCACATTATTAATATTTTAACATTATTCAGTCCATTATGTAGCAAAAAACAAGGGTATATGAAGAACAACCACTTCTAAACCTGTAACTATAAGACAATATACTTTTCATCTACTGCTTTCTAACCCTGGTGGCGCCGTGGTTAAAGCCACTGACTGCTAACTGGTCGGCGGTTCGAAACCACCGGCGTCTCTGCGGGAGAACGATGTGGCAGTCGGCTTCCGTAGAGATCAAAAGCCTTGGAAACCCAAGGGTCGCAATGAGGTGGGACTGACTCCATGGCAGGGGGTGTTTGCCTGTCACAAATGGTATCTCTGAGAAAATTAGGGGGCAACTCCTTCCTCAAGACACTTCACTGTCCTCTGCCTAATCAACTTACTGTATCACCCTACAATGACTACGGACGTAAACCGCAGCATCTAGAGCTGTGAAGCACACAACCTGCATGACACAGCGTCTGCATGCCTCGCTCACAGGCCGGAAAAACACATACAGTTCGTACTGTTTCTATATTCATCCATGGCAAACGTTCCCTATGACCCCATGCACTGTATTCCCAAATTACTTTTGCTCACCATCTTTCTGATGATTTAAGGAACCTGGATCTATTTTAAATAAGACTTGAAGAAAAACATAACTATATATTGTACATTGCTTCAAGAACAATGCAAATTTTATTCCAAATATGAATTTAGCTCTACCTCAGGGCAGCATTACATGTAATGACATAAAGGGCATGAAACTACAGTCACTTGTACAAATGCCAATGTTTCCAAGATTTGATAAATTTGTAATAGATTTATAGTAAAACTCATGAAAATAACATTTCTATCACTGAACTTGCTTGCAGCGGGGAAGAGCAGACAAGCTATCACTGACAGTCACGCAGGGAGTCAGGCTCCGTAAATACTATAACCTTTATAGAGCATCCGTGTCTGAACAACCAAAGTAAGTGGCGTATGACCGAAACAACCCTCATCTGTCTAAAAAGAGAAAGAAGAAAATTAGAAAGGCATAAAATGCTGATCGAAATGTCAACTGAAGGCTTCAGTAATGAAATCTAAAAGCCAAACAGATTTTCTGCAATGCACATTACCCTTCTCACCTACTAAAATCAGGTACCAAAGCAATTGCATAATAATTAAAATTATTAAAATGTTGTTCAACGCACTTTGACTCAAAACTAACTGTTTAGAATGAATTACATGTCAAAATGAGTTGAAACTTTCCAGAAAGTGCTCAGCTTACTTTCCATCTATACCGATAACCAACTTCTAGACTAATTTGACACCACCACAGTACGTGCGCAGAACCGCCTATAAACGAGTTGTTTTACAAAACAAGATGTTACTAACACTTACTCCAAATCACTCTTTTATCAAACCTCAGAATATTCGAGAGAGAAAAATACGAATGAGTCAGTAATGGCAACTTTTAGCGTAGTACCAACAGAGGCTCTCTCTTATTAAAACAATCTCGGTACATTTCTAAAGTAACATTCCCAAGGAAAACAAACAACTCGGAGAGAGCAAATGTCACCAGGTGCAACGTGAAGGAATAACCTATATATAGTACTAGCCTGTCATTCAGTCTGAAACACCATTCCTTCCTTCGTCCCTTTAAAGTTCCGGACTTGTAAGCATTTGATATACAGCCAAGAGAAAGAGCAACTTGTATCATCTTGTAAAATAATTAGATGCAGAGTTCAACAGGTTCATGAAATAGGTCTGAACTGTAAATGCTCTTTCTTCCAGAATGGCAGTTTTTTGAACATTAGGTTCCCGTTTCAGAGGTTAGAACGAACTGTTTTTCATCTAGCTGATGATGGCTGGTAGTCAAGGAAGACCATCGCAGGCTCCTTCACTGTTCTAGGACCTCAGTCTATGAGTTAAACTTGTCCAGCAGACCCTGTTATCAAAATGGTGAAGAAGTCACCGACCAGTGTGCTCTCTAAGATGTGTGAATTTTAAATCACATTCACTATGACTTTATTTATAATAAAAAGTACCAAAAAATTTACCCTTTATAATTAACTACATTGTGGAAAGTTCAAAAAATTGAACATTAAACAGATATTAAAGTTTAGAAAGAGCTAACCTTTATAAAGCACTTTTAATAGCGTGAGGAGATGCATACACGGAGACTTTTCTTGAAATAAGCAAGATACAAAACAACATGTAAAATATGATCTTAACTGTGAAATACACATACATACAAAGAACAGAAAGAAAAACACAAGAATATTAAAAAGTTATCATCTTGGGTAGAGCATTTTAGGTGATTTTTTTTTCCCTTTCTCTTTGAGAATTTATGCAGTAATACTACTTTTTGGAGTTCCTGGGAGGTGCAAGCAGTTAACTGATTCAGACGCTAACCAAAAGTTTGGGGGTCTGAGTCCCACAGAGGCGTCTTAAAGAAACGTCTGCCAATTAACTTCTGAAAAATCAGCCACTGAAATCCCTATCGAGCACATTTCTACTCTGACACACATGGTCACTCTGAGTTGGAATCAACTCAATGGTAACTGGTTTTGGTTTATTATTACTTTTTACATTAAAATTATATATATAAAAACGCACCAATGCTTAAATACTGTTTGCCTACACCTTCTTTCAAGTTCAGAAAGAGTTGAACAGAGCCTCCCAAAAAGGGCCAAACAGCACACTCTGTGTTTGAAGCAGTGAAAGAATTTTGTACTCCTCTGGGACACAGAACTCCTGGACTTACAGAACTAGTCCACAGGGTCACTCCAGGCTTTCTAGGAGAATGCCAGGAGGTCTAGCATACTATACCGTCAGCTTCTTCATTCATAAAATGCAGATAATAACTGCACCTACCTCAAAGGACTGTTGTAAAATTAAATGCTTCAATACATATATAAAGCATTTACACGGCACCTGGCAGACAGAAAGCACTATAAAAGTCTTTGCTATGTTACCGTCGTCATTTTATTACTATTACCACAGTAACACAACTATTACTTCTACTACTAGTACTATTACCAATGCTGATATCATTGCTATGACTATTGCTACCGTAAGAACACCAACGGTAGGCAACAGTGTTCCTTCCTCATAGGGCTGTTTCCCAAAAAGAAAAATGCTTGCCAATCTGATCTCAGGAAGTGTAAGGGCCATGAGGCCAGGAGATTGCACCAGATGTTATTTTTAATTAGATGCAATGAGCCTCTGGCACTTTCACTACCCCTCTGGCCGCCAGATGCCCCGCCACCCTCCTATCACCACACCCAGCCTGACTTCCCTCCGCACATCAAGTCACTGCTCCCTGACTCACTGACTGTTTTTTTTTATAAAACTTTGCTCATATCCTTAAAGTAGATTCTTAACATGTTCCTGGCCTTTTCACAAATCATTTACTCAAGTATCTTTATTAAAGAGTTAGGTACAGAAAAGGTAGGTCACTTGTACCTTAGTATTTATTTAGTAAAACAAAATAAAAATACTTGGTCAATGTTTTAAAAAAATCTTCAGTCAACTAAAATAAAAACATTTAACTGTAGAAAACACACAGTTAAGGGGAAAAGAGAAGTGCTGATACTGGCAGCCGCTGACACCTTTGCAGAACCCGAACACACGCAAACCAAGAAAAAAGGCTCCATCAGTCGATTCTGACTCATGGGGACCCCGTATGTGTCAAACTCTACGTGCTCTACAAGGTTTCCAATGGCTGACTTCTTGAAAGTAGATTGCCAGGCCTTTCTTCCAAGATGCCTCTGGGTTTTCGAACTTCCATCCTTTTGGTTAGCAGCCAAATGCTTTAACTGTTTGCACCACCCAGGGACTCCTGCACACGGGCAGCCCGACGCTTACAGCTGATTGGAACAGAGGTCTGCATCTGTCCCAAGCTGAGCCAATCAGATTACATCCTGAAGAGTTCAAAGTCACAACACTGGAACTACAGTCAAGACGGTTATAAATCAATAGTCAGAGACATATAAGCCGAAGTCACAGGGAGAAAGAAACGCAGGCCTCGGCAAGGAGGAAGCCAATCCACAGAGATGCAAATCCCGGAGACCATATGGTCCTGAGAGGCAGAAAAGTCAACGGCAGTTCCTGGCTTTCCACTTCCAGCCCCACGGGTCTCCTTACATGCTTAGAAGACTGTTACAGTCTTACAGCTAATCCCCCTTTCGCATAGCCATCCTGAGGCAGATTTCATTCCCTAGGAACAAAGATGCCCTGAATACAGGTGACATGTTCACGGAACAAACACTCATGTCACCTGCGTGTTTTTCATTCTTGGCCCTTTGTTCCAAAGACTGGAACAGTGTGCACAACACAGAATAGTCATTTCTTAACGACTCACGTGTCAATACCCCAAAGTACGGCCTTGCTTTGTGTTAGGAGAGGGAGAATCAGGAAGAGAAAGAATTCTGCAAAAACATTCCAAGCTTTATGGATCATCCACTGTAGACTCTATTATACTATACCTGCTTCTTGGAAGAAACATGGATTCCTTGATGAACACGGAACCAGAGAGAAGGATATACCAGCAGGTCCCAATATCATCAGGACTGAAAAGAAAAGATGACACAATCAAATGACGGATTGTAACAGCATAAATAAATAAATAAAAACAAATACAGCACAAAGTGCAGCACCATCATGAAGAAAAATACAGAAAACCTACATTAAAAAAAATTACTTAATTATTGGAATAATTTTTTTTAGTATTTTTATTTATCTCCCAAATAAGCAAAAAACTTTTACTAGTATATTCAAATATTTTAAACATTCCTAAGACCTGTAGCACCTATCCTGCCTAAATTATATTTTTTAGTTTAATTTTTTGAACAGGAAACACTTTCACTTGCGCCATAAATCAAAAAATATAAAGAGGTGAACAGTGAAAACTTTTCTTGTCAAGCCTTTCCTGTCTGCCAACTTCCCACAGTCCCCAACCACATCATGTGTACCCTTTCAGAATTTCTCTACGCAAATACACACAAATGGGCATGTATGTTCTTATTCCCATCTTTTAAAAAAAAAATTAAGATTTCACACTCTACACCCTGTTCTTTCCTTTGCAGTAACTCTTAGAGATCTTTTTTATGAGAAGACAGAGCACCTGCTTGTGTGTTTGAACAGCTGTACAGCATCTCATTCCATTGTAGGGATGTGACTAACTTGTCCTACTGGTGCTCATTCAGGTTGTTTTCAATCATGTGCAATAATTTAAAAAGAAAAAAAAAAAAGGCCATGAGTAATCTTGTACATGCAAACTTAACAAGAGGAGAAAAACCCAGGAGTACAACTGCTGGGGCAAAGGGTAAACACACTGTAACAGTGACGGCGGAACTGGAGAAAAGAAGGGAGACCAGGCACCAAGCAAGTCCAAACCCCAGCAGAACAAATTACATTAGCTCTCAAGGCTTGAAAATAATCTGGGCAATGGCCTCACCCTCCACACTCTTGGTGTTGGTCATGCTCTGGATTCTGTGTAGAGGCCTCTCAGCCCTGAGCTTCAGCTTCGAGTTCTAGGCCCACTGGGATGGCAAGATTGCTCCCTCAGCTTTGGACGGCCCCGTTCTCCTACTCCATCTAAGTGGCAACCCCACCATCTCAGCCCCGGCAGGCCCTGGTCTTCTCCGCTTGGGCATGGCAGCCTCGCTTCCTCAGCTTTGGGCAGCGGCCCCATCCACTTGGCCAAACTGAATGGCAGCCCCACACTCTGGAACCAAGCTGATGAAGATCTGACTCTTTAAAACCTAAGAGGCCATGGCCCCACCCTTTGAGACCAAGGCAGCTCTGTTTCCTATGCTCCTTCCAACAGTTTGCTGATACAGGATGGTCCTTTTCTGTTCTTGGAGGATAACAGATGTAGCTCCTTTGGCCTGTTACCTGTCTGCAGAATTCCAAGAGGCAGACAGCATTCTTTCCGTTCATTCTTCAATGTCCCTTTCGGTCTAAACTGATGGGTTTTCTGCTGTGATAGTTGGTTAGATCCATCAGTCACAGGCCTAATCTCTTTAACAAACGACTGTATAACCAAGTCCTTGGAGAACATTCTAGCACATGTGTCCTTAGTTTGTACAGCAGAATTTTCCAAATCTTTCAGTTCTGTTTTCATTTTGCACAGATCATTTTTAAGTACTTCTCTTTCCTTTCGCATTTTACTATAAGCGGCAAGGAGAAACCATGTGGCCCCTACATGACCTTGCTTAGAAATTTCCTTAGCCAGATATCCAAATTCGTCACTTACAAATTCTATCTCCCACCAAACATTTGAAAATAATTCACACAAGTTCTTTCAACTGCATAAAAAGCATCGCTTTTCCTCCACTGTCCAATCACATGTTTATCGTTTTCTTTTAAAGTCTCACCAAAAGCACATTTAATGTCCACATTTCCAGCAACACTCTGTTCTGGCGTCATATGCATTCTCTAAGATGACAGAGACCTTCTCTATAACTGTCCTCACTGTCTTCTGAGCTCTCACCAGAACTGCCTTTGACGACCACAGTTCTACCAGCAGGCTTTTACTATCAGGCACCTGAAAACTCTTACAGCCTCACTCATTACCTAATTCCAAAACCACTTCCACATTGTAGGTATTTGTTAGAGCAGCACCCTCACTTCTTCGTACCAAATTCTTAGTTATCTAGTGCTGCTATAACAGAGATACCACAAGTGGGTGGCTTTAATAAACAGAAATTTATTTTCCCACAGTTTAAGAGGTTAGAAGTCTGAATTCAGGGTGCTAGCTCGAGGGGAAGGCTTTCTCTGTCGGCTCAGGAGGAGGGTTCTTGTCTTTCTGAGCTTCAGTTCTTGGGTAGTCTTCATGTGGTTTGGTATCTCTCCTCCCCCATCTCTCCTCTGCTCGTTTGTTTAATATCTTTCATATCTCAAAAGAGACTGACTCAAGATATGCCCTATACTAATCCTGCTTCATTAACATAACAAAGACAACCCATTCCCAAATGGGAGTATAACCACACACATAACCCCAAAACCAAACCCATCACAGCTGAATCGATTCCAGCTCATAGCGACCTTACAGGACAGAGCAGAACTGCCCCACAGGGTTTCCAAGGAACAGCTGGTGGATTCAAACTGCTGACCTTCTGATTAACAGCCAAGCTCTTACCCACTGCACTACCAGGGATCCAACCACAAGCACAGAGATTAGGATTTACAACATATTTTGGGGGAACATAACTCAATCCACAAAAGGGTTGTTCTAGGCACTTGGGATACTTTAGAGGACACCACCACCAAAACAAACAAACAAACAAAAAAATCCCTGTCCTCTTGGAGCTTATATTCCGTTGGGATAACACACCCAACTCCTCACTTACCTACATGGTTAGGTTCCAAAGATCAAGTCATTATGCAAAAATGGAGGATGATTATGTCAGATCAGAAAATGGAGATGACTACATCATTACATAACTGCCTAATTACATCATTACCCAAAAAAACTAAACTCATTGCCGTCAAGTGGATTCCAACTCACAGCAACCCTATAGGACAAAGTAGAATTGCCCTGTAGGGACTCAAACTGCTGACGCTTTGGTTAGCAGCCTAGCTCTTAACCACTATGCCACCAGCATTCCTTACATCATTACTTAAGTGCCAAATTACATGATTACATAACTGCCTAGCCACTGAGAATCACAGCCCAGCCAAGATGACACACAACCTTAACCGTCACAGCCAGCGTTACTCTCACCTTGCACCTTGGCATTCATTACTGCCAGACATACATTGTTAATACACAAAATGGACAGTAGTTTTTTTTTTTACAATTGCTGTAATGTGAAATGTTGGAAAACGAGATAGTAAGAGAGAACTAGGTATACAAATAATAAACAATAAAAAATAAATAAATTCAAAAATTATACGATAGGTCATAAGGTGATCAGTGCTATGGGAAAAAATTAGTGCAGAGTAACGAAAAAATGAATAAGGAAGACCGAAGAAGAACTGATGCCTTTGAATTATGGTGTTGACAGGGAATACTGAACATACCACTGACTGCCAAAAGAAAGAACAAATCTGTCTGGGAAGAAGCACAACCAGAATGCTCCTTAGAGGCAAGGATGAAGAGCCTTCATCTCACGTACTTTGGACGTGTTATCAGGAGGGACCAGTCCCTGGAGAAGGACATCATGCTTGGTAAAGTAGAGGGTCACTGAAAGAGAGGAAGACCCTCAACGAGATGGACTGACACAGTGGCTGCAACAACGGGCTGAAGCAAAACAAAGATGATGAAGATGGCACAGGACAGGGCAGTGTTTCGTTCCATTGTACACAGGGTTGCGAGCAGTCGGAACCAACTGGCACCTAACAACAAGGAAATCTGGTGGTGGTGTGGGGGCGGGTGTCACAATTTTAAATGGGAGGGACACGACAAGCCTCCTTTGAGCAAAGGAGATGAAAGAGTGGCCATGTGGATCCTAAGAGATCAGCCCTCCTGGCAAAGGGTAGGGAGGATCAGAAGACCATGTGGCTGACACTGCCTAGATGGAGGCCAGTGTGACTGAAGCACGTAAGTACAGGACAAGCAACAGGGGAGCAAGCAATACCACATTACATCAGAGGCTTTATATCAAATTTTTAGTTTGTCTGGTGAAAATGATCTGAGTTTAATTTTAGTATTCATTTCTTTTTCGTATTATTGTTATTATCAGAACATCTTTTCTTATGTTCATAAGCCATTTCTATTTTTGTTTGTGTGAAATCAGTTCACAACTTTTACCCAATGTTCTATTAATTGTGGGACTTTTTCTTACTGCATTCTCAGAGTCTTTTGGAAAACAAGAGCTGCAAATATCTTTTTCTTCAGTTTGTTACTTATCCTTAGACTTTGTTTATTGTGGTTTTGTTGCGTATAAGTTATTTTTATTTTATACAGTCAAGTTTATCAAATTTATTAGGAAACAGGCTCGGCTACTATGAAAACAAAACTAAATTACACAACTATAGGTCTCTACTCATCTACAGCAAAAGAGAAAGAAGGAAACCCAAGAACCAGAAAAGGAACCAGACTACAGGACTAACTGTCTCCATGAACCATGGCCTCATCTACCTTGAGACCAGAAGAACTAGATTGCACCCGGTTACCACTACGGAACGTTCTGATCAGGGTGACAATAGATGGATCCTGACAGAAATGGAGAAAAATGTGCAACACAACTCCAAATTCTCAAAGAAACCCGACTTACTGGGCTCTCTGGTACTGGAGGGATTCCCCAAGACTACTGCTCTGAGATACTCTTTAAACTCTGTACCGAAATTATCCCCTGAAGTTACCCTTTAAATAAATAACATGTTAGCTCAAAAGTAAAGAATGTTACCCTTAAGCATTGCGCCCTTTTAAAAAATTATACGGAGCCCTGGTGGCACAGTGGTTAAGGAGTTTGGCTGCTAACCAAAAGGATGGTAGTTCAAGTCCACCAGCTGCTCCGTGGAAACCCCATGGGGTAGTTCTACTCTGTCCTATAGGGTTGTTAGGAGTTGGAATCAACTTGACAGCAACAGGTTTATGATGAGACCACACAGATAACCGTTA